CTAGACCTTACTCTGATTTAAGAAATCTGTGTGTGCTGTTCACATGACCATTTGATCAGATCATAATCAGATAACTGCAGAAATCTGATTATGACTGGATTATTGAGTGCATGTAAACACAGTCATTGTTGTCCTGAAGGGTGTTTAGTGTTGTTTTGTTTGAACCATTTGAAACTGTTTGGAGATTTAAGTGTTTTAAACAAAATATAATTCAGAATGATGTCAGCTGATGAGAATATAGGTTGATTGTTGATGTTGGCAAAGAAAAAGTGAAATTGTGCCACGAAACAGTAAAAGAGGCTTGAAGTTTGAAAGTTTTTCTTTACTGCTAATGCACGGGATATTTTGAAAGCCGTGTGAGTGTTTCCTCACCGCGGAGAGAACGGCGCTGACTCTGTTTGTGTTTCTTCGTGAAGAGCTGGTAGACGGCACGCTGGGCGCGGGACGCTCCATGTACTTTGTAGTGAACATGAAAGAGTGAAAATAGCGAGGTTATGTTGGTGGTAATGGAAGAAAGAAATGTGTATCAAGAGAATCCGCACGTGTGTTTACCGACTGGAGGGGGTCCGTCTCACTGAGGGCAAAGCTTGTAGCCTTTAGTCTGGTTTCTGATTTCTGGATGGCTTTATCTTGCCTGGCTTTCCCAACACTGGAGGAGATCTGCGTCCTTCAAAGCTCAACAACTCTCTCTTATGCTCCTGTGTTATTTCTCTTGATTTCTCTTGTTGGGGTGATTTTTAACAATTCTCTTTGGGAGCCGTATATGCAGCTGAAGAATTCACCCTCCGCCAGTATTTCTGGAGCTCATATTTTAAATAATTGAAGCGAGGGAATGCTTTATGTTTTGAATGGAGTGTTGAACTTGCTGCTTGTTAAGCAAGTTATAAGTTTTAAGACATTTTCTAGACGCTCTTTTAAGGCTATTTGTTAACTTAGAGCTTTCTTGACACATAGCCTAGTCTCAGACTAAATCGCGTTTGTCACAGTTGTCAGTGGACACTCCTTATTAAGAAGACACTCTATTAAGATGTATTACATGTGACATTCTGGCAATTTGGGACCAGTTATTTTTCAGAATGAGCTTTTTTAAGAATACATTCATGCCAGCCCCTAATTCTCCCACACCTGAGAGCGATCATATATTCTCTCCTGTCTCTCAGTCCATTTCCCAGTAAAATGGCTCTTGAATGGTCTGGAGAATGGCCTGCTTATTATGCTCTTCAATTTACACAGGCTGTATTCTCCGTGAAGAGGTTTAAGCGTGCTGGTAGGTGGCCTCTGGACTTAGTATATGCCAGGCTCGGAGGAGATTTGTAGCGGTTGTTATTCCATTCCATCTCAGTGGGTGAGCAGTCAGTCTCCTCTGTGGTGCTGCTGGATGTTTCAGAGAGACGAACCTCAAAGTTCTGAATAATTTGTGTTTGTGATTTTGAACTGGTTTTAATGATGTGGCTCAATTGATGCTGGCTAACTAAGCCTGTCTGT